CGCGGCGCTCCCAGCCGCAACTGCGCCACCCGCCCGCCCTCCGGCGCCAGCCCGCGCCGCGCATGCGCAGCGGCATTTCCCCTTCCACCGCTCGGCCCAGCAGCCTCCCGAGCAGCGCGCCAAGCCCCGCCCCGCCTCAGCCTGCTCCTAAAATGGAGGCGCAGCCTCCCCCGGGAGCGCCGCAGCGGCCCCGCCGGCTCTTTATCGCTGCCCGGCCCGGGCACGGCCTTCTGGCGCCGCAGATTAGAGTTGTTTTCCCAGAAGGTGCGCTAGCACCGTGCAGGCGGGCCCGCCGGCCCTTCGCCCCGCTCCCGGCACCTCACAGCCTGCCCGGGGTCCCGCGCACCTCAAACACCACAGCAACACTGCCCACAGCCTCTGTAAGAAACACCAACAACTGCCACTGTATCTTTATCAGTAACACCAGTCTAACCTACACTTTCAAATCTTCTGCAGCTGCAGGCAAGTCAACATTTGTCAGGCTACTAGAGAAACACAGTGACGAGTGGGAGATCATCCCCGAACCCATTGCCAAGTGGTGCAACATCCAGACAGCTGAAGATGAATACGAGGTAGGTGTGCTGGATTCAGGACGCTTGGGAAGAGAGATGGGTTACGGAAGAAACTGCAGCGATTGGCTGGGGAGCCATGCCAAAATTCAGCTATGCTTAGTCTGGAGCATCCAGAGTATTCCCCACTATCATAGCAGTTGGTCAGATACTCAGAATATCGTAAAGGCTGCTTAGGAAGATGCTACTGAATGGTCTAAATAACCATCTCCATTCCACAGAAATTACATTAAAGTCTAAATCTCAGTGATCAACCTATTCTAAAGAAGCTGTCATAAGTCTACCATCAGCTGAGAAACAAATGCCCAATCTTTTCCAAAAAAATACAAAAAAGACATGACTTCTTATTTCAACATACCAGAACTCTAGATTAAGAGAAAGGAATAAAATCCTGCAAATATGCTGTTATTAAGCTTTCTCTCTTGTCCCCTAGGAACTTTCAACATCTCAGAAGAGTGGAGGAAATCTACTTCAAATGCTGTACGATAAACCCACAAGATGGGCTTACACATTTCAGACTTACGCTTGCTTGAGCCGAGTAAGAGCACAACTAAAACCTGTCTCAGCCAAGCTACACGAAGCAGAACATCCAGTGCAATTTTTTGAGAGATCCGTGTACAGTGACAGGTAATTACTCTCACTGCACAACAAGAGCTCAGTTCAGATTAAAAACTGCAGGTCTTTATGCTCAAAGGCATGGAGCTGGGGAAACGCCTGATACTAAACTAGTATCTGCAAGGAGCATGTTTGATTCAACAGGTGAGAGCTGGATGGTATTAAAGAGTATTTCACAGATGTAAGAGTGGGCAGCTATTTTTTCAGTACCACGACTCTAATTCTAGTGAGAAGTGGTTCAGTAGTTTGCTTTGGTCATTCCTAGCATGAGACTGATGTTTTCCATTGCAGATACATATTTGCTTCTAACCTGTTCGAGTCTGGAAATATTAATGAAACAGAGTGGGCTATTTATCAGGACTGGCATACATGGCTTTTGAACCAGTTTGAATCAGACATAGAACTGGATGGCATGATCTACCTAAGAACCACACCTCAGGTATGTTCACAACTTTCAGCTCCAACTTCTTTCCAGGAGCTTAAGAGGGTACAAAAACCAAAGTATACATGACATAATACTGCAGTGATGAACACTGAATTAGCTCCCCTCCACAATGTCATAGGAAGCCTGTCGTAAATTTGGATTTCATTTAGAGACCAAATTAAAAACTCTCCCTTCTGAGCTGCTATTTAGATGTCAGGAAGTGCTAGTCACTAGCACCCACCACTCTAGTAAGGATCCAAACCTGAAATGTATTGTTTGACTTCCCTTCCTATGCAGTTCTGAGTTGTAGTTCAGATAAGAACTACTCGTGTTTAGCTAAAGTGGCTCAAGTTTGATTTTTGAAGAAAAAATATTCTAGATTTAAACTCATTTATATTCGGCCAAGCATTAAAATTAACGCTCACTAATGTCTAGTTGTAGTCCTTCTGATTTAAGGACTACTTGATCTGTTTAGCTGATTTAGCCTTCAACACCTGATTTACATCCAGGCTTGAGTTTGTGGTTTTGTTTTTTTTTTCCAGAAATGCATGGAAAGGCTACATATGAGAGGAAGAGAAGAGGAACAAGGAATTGAGCTTGAGTATTTGGAAAACCTCCACTATAAACATGAAACCTGGCTTTATGAAAGGACTATGAGGTATGAACCAATTTTCTGTAGGCAAATTTCAACTTACAGAAAAGGCTCTTCCCTACCTTATGCTAAAGTTTATTAGGGATAAAACTAAAGTTTTTAAGTCTAGCTTCACTCAGGTACAGCTGAGAGAACTTATCTTTAGACCCACTCCAGGGTGGATCTTGCCACACATACAGTTACTCTAGGTTACATGCAAAGGGAATGTCATCTCTTGGCAGGGAAATAAAGATTGCCAAGAGATGGAAATTCATCTAATTTTAAAGTCCTCATTAAGCATTAGCTTCAACTAGAAAAGGATGTAGTTCTAACTTCAGCAAGGAGATGAGTTTTGTTAACTGAAAGTACACAGGAATAGGACAGAGTTGAGATTGCACTCAGTGGCTGATCACTAAGTTATCCAATAAACCGCTTTTCCAGTTCATATGTAAGGGAGGGCAAGGTCTCAACTACCTTTAAACTTGGATGACTGTATTTCAGCAAGGTTTAAACATTAATCCTAGCTTCAAAATAAACAATAATCAGAAGGGTTTTGGCAGGTACTGCTACACTCAAGAAACCCAGTCAGCAATTAAGTGATCTCTGCATACCTTCACCACCCCCCACCCCCCCCCCCCCCCCCTCCCCCTCTAAGGATACTCTAAATAGGAAAACTGACTTTAGATTTCCCCCTAGAGGAGCCTGAAATACTCTACCGAACGAGAAGTGTAACAATTCCAGGAAATGTTTCTTATCAGTCACATCTACTTCCCCAAGTTTCATGTAGATGAGACAGGGCAGCACTGCATATTGTGGAATTTTGGGAATGTTTACATTGTGTACTCATTCCAAACTTGTGAGCAAGCATTTCCTGTATTTTTCATAGGAACATTTAAGTCTACAAACACAAGTTAGAATGCTGTTCAGCACATTTGCTGCATTTTAGAAATGCTTTTCACACATAGGAAGAGAGAGTAACTACTGCTTTAAAAGAACAATACATCCAATTGCACAACTACTTCTCTCATCTGCTCCTAACCTGTAGCCAAAATGGTCTTGCTGATCTCTGAGCCATTTTAAATACCAGTCTTATAACCTGTTAAAGAGGTCATCCCCACGAAAGGAAGCTTTACAACTGCTTCTTAGTAAATGGATTAGCAGTTAACTACTAGGGGAGGGGAAGACACTGGGCAAGTGATATTTTAAAAATACTCCCTCTTATCAAAATCATATTCCTCATAATTGATTCCACAACAAAAAGAATGAAGTAAAAAATAAGGTAAGAATAAACTATCTTCCCTGCTTGCTTGTATAATAAAAATAGATATTAAAAGGCTAGATTTGTGAAATACATAAAGGTTTTGGTGATACAATATTGACTGGGTTATACAAGAACAATTAAGGACAGACCTGACTTGGGCTTTATACTTAAGTCATGGACATCAGTATTAACATCTCGGGTGCATGTGGCTGATCTAAGTAATGCTATACCCTTAGGATGCCTTGGAAAGCAACTGAAGAGCTAGACTTTTATACACAGTACTTTATACCAGTTTTACTAGCATTATGTTCTTCCATTTAATAGAGTTGATTTTGAGAACCTTAAAGAGATTCCCATTCTAGTTTTGGATGTTAATGAAGACTTTAAGAATGATAAGATTAAACAGGAGTACCTGATTGATAAGGTAAGTATTAAATAATGTTTCCTCATATCTGCTTTTCTTCAGCAGTAATGGCTCTAAGTTATCAATTTACATTCTTAAAAGATTTGTGACGAAGTGCTTGTTTGGGGCTAGTACAATCACTCTCCTTCACAGACTGGGAATGCTACACAGCTGCAGAAAAGGTTTTTTGCTTTCCTCCAAAATAAGTCATTTAACCCCACCTCCTTCTGACAATTCAAGTGAAAACCGGGTGGTTTTCAAGAGGAGTGATTATGGGGGATGCAGGTACACAGCAGCTGAAGTAGTCAGACTACCTCTGCCCTGCCACACTGTTCATTAAATAGTTCACACAATGATACTGTCCAATTCATGTCGGCCATGATGTCCTTCGAAAAAGCCTGCTGTCAGCTTAGAGCTATTTATGCCCTCCTGCATTCTAGGGATCCGGGTGCTTCCTGGACAGAGCACAACACATCTGACAAGTCCAGAGATAACTGAACCTTGTACAGAGTTCTAAATACATGAAGTGACACTTCTAGGGTGTCACCAGCCATTTGAGGCAACAAGGTGGTCACTTGAGTCAAAATGGTGTTTGCTAATTCCAAGCCAAGACTTGGGAAGTAAATGCCCAAAGAAATTCTACTGAAGCCACAAGCTGTTTGCCCAGTCCACAGCAAAAAAACACCTCCCAATACTTAAAGGCAAGGGGCTCATCCCCAACTCTCTGGGCAGAGCTGTAACATCACTTATTTCATTACTGGGACTCTCCCCCACTGCCCCAACAAGACTATTCTTGTCTTATAAAGATGGAAAGCAGTGCCCTCCTAGCAAACCATGTAAATAATTTTCTCTGTCTTGTTCGGAGTCATCAATTCGAGATTACTAAAGAATGAGTCCTTCAAGCCAAGCCTAATTATCCTAAATAAATAGCTCTACATAAACTGCGGAGGGGAGCGCAGTGTTCAGTTCTGGAGGTATTTGTTGTTAAGTTGCATCCTCACAGAAAGCAGCAATTAACAGCTTAGGGAGTTATCAACCAGACTACACTCTTTTAATTTGCCCCACTGAAAGGCCACCAGTGTTGTCTCCAAACTCCCTTCACCACCCAGACTATGAGAAAGTCATCTCTGCTTTCAGGGGGTACAGCTCCCTAACCAAGGGAAATTCTGTAAAGCGTTCCAGCAGGTACCTTTCCTAAGTACTTGCTATTTTTGAGTAATTAAGTTACTCAATTCTTCCTAGTACTAACTTACAAATCTTGGGTTGACAACCATCTGCTATACTGAAAAGCCTTTCAGGTCATGAATTGCATGTCGAGGTAGAACAGCAACAGAAACTGATACAGTAACAAACCATTTGTGCACCAAGAAAGAAAGGTAAAAGCCCAATGATGTAGCTTTTCTTTTAACGCACAAAATATATGCTTTTTGTTTTCACAGGTCAAGTCTTTCCTGACTTCGTAACATGAAAATTAATTTGAATGACAAGTCCCTGAAGTTCAAGAGTTAAACCTAGCAACCAGTGCATTCTTAATTTACTTTTACTGACTTCATTACCTGTATAGATTATTTTAAGGCAATATCAAAGTGCAAAATATCGTTTGGGGTTGGATTTTTTTTGGCTTATCTGACCTGCGTGGGTTTTTTGCTAGAATTTTCTGTATAGTTAAAACAAACAAGCATGGCGTGGTTTAATAACGTACTTTGTTTATATTCTTTGCTGTTCAATAAAGATTTTAAAATAACATTTACTAGCAACTGGCTTTAACAGCGGAGGAGTTAAAACCTGTTATCGACGGCTGGCAAGGCAGTGCACAGCGATAGCAGGCACTGAGGCAGGCTTGTTTTGCAATAACTGGCACAGTTCACCATTTTAAGACGAGACTGTTATGGCGTCCAGAAACCTTTACTTTCCACTTCTGCTTTATGGAGTGGCTCTTTTCACGGGATTTACGCTACTTAAGGACGGACGGTACCGCAGTCGCAAGGGTTACACCTGCAATAAACTGCAATTTAAGCACACCTTGTTTACGCTCCCTCCCCCCCGGGTAAACTAACTCCCCCTCGCCCCCCCCAACACGGTA